ACCGAATTGAGTTCTCTCTTGCGTCGTCAGATTTATCCATATGTCTGCTCTTCTCTTACTCCCACATATTGACATTTTTTGAACGTGTTATGCGACGTGCAGCAAGTGTATGTTAGCTTATGTCCCGCCGGTTCATATGTACGCATAACCTTCGAACCATGCAGCAGATTCGTTCTGAATGAACCTCATCCCAAATCGTCCCTCCCTAACATTTTCGTCTCGTTTTTATTCATTGACGAAAATGTCAATAGATTTACGTCATAGTTTTTGTCATTCAAAAAGAGTTTTAGTTCATTATAGTCTCGTCGTCTGTGAAAAAAATGTCGTTGACGACAATTATGACGAAAATTATTCGTCAACGAAATTAACACGGCACAGAACGCATATTTATCACATTTTCTAGAGGGACGTCTATCACCGTTGCACTCGCATCTCGCACAAGAGAGACGCATGTTTAGAAAGCCATGTAAAATTAATGCAAGTTCAACTTTTTAAAAACATGTCTCAAGACTATATGCCGGTTTTTCCCCATCCCACTGCATCTTATGTTTTTAAATGAAGAAAGCACTCTTTGTGATTGGTTTTCGGTCCTTTGTATTAAACTATACATACATGCATGGTGCTGTTTTGTTTCTAATCGTTTAAGCAACTTTAATTGTATAAGGTTTATAAACATTATTTTAAACATTATGCACTTTTTTTTAAATATAGTCGCATTATTTTATTACGCTTTGAAGTAGGGCAGCACGATTATGACAAATATCATAATTGTCGATTATTCCCTTGAAATTGTAATTGGGATTATTAATTACGATTATCACAATTGAATGATGTTATGTCATTGTTTGAAGCAACCGCATGCCATATTTTTAGATGGAAAATAAACCCTTAAACTGAAAAACCTTTATTGCTTTTCTATAGTATTAAGCCTCAAATGGCATCTATTCATCGGATTGGTTTCTTCTTTAAATAAACAAAGGTAAAATATGCATGATATTATAATGTCATATTAAAACAATGGAAAAACCCTTAAGATAACTTGTAGAAAGAAAAAAACTGATCTTAAGCACACAGAATAATATAAGTGGACTTTAAACGATTAATTGCCGCTTTGAACGATTACATAATTGTGACATCTGTAATTGTAATCGCGATTAAAAATTCGATTACGTGTGCAGCCCTACTTTGAAGAAATGTGCATTAGTAATATTTTGCTCGATGCACCCTCTTGTGGCCTCAGGAGAGAAGCCAGAAGCTTTTTTCCCCCCTAACTGAAATCGATTATAATTTGAATATTGATAATATTTAAGTACAAAATTCTAATTTAGTTTTTCAGCCTTTTTGACAGCCCTATTCTCTTTTAGCCTCTCTGTTTGACCCGACATGTGACGGGGCGTCTCTCTCTGCAGGGCTACAGGACCGGTTATCCGTACCGCTGCCCTGCGCTGCGTGATAAAGCAAAAAAGTACAGTGATGTTGAGATCCCCTCTTCAGCCACGGGCTACTCGTACGCTGAGGACAGTGACTCGGGTGCGCGCTCCCCGTTAAAGCACAGCTTTCAGCGGGACAAGAACCGCTGGCTAGCCTCCGGGAGGCCCGACGAATCTGCAGAAGAGGGGCAGGACTGCAGCGGTAGCCCCAAGGTGAAGACTAAGGTGTGGACGAACATAACACACGATCACGTCAAACCCTTGCTGCAGTCTCTCTCATCCGGTGTCTGCGTGCCAAGCTGTATTACCAACTGCTTGGTCTGTGCCAACCTTATTGTTCATAGTTCAGAAACGTACTGCTAGAGAGCTAGAGCGGGCAGCTGGTTAGCGCCCCGACACCGGGGCAGAACACACACTCATTCAAGGGGTTTTGGATGTGTTTGCCGTTTCACAACCTTTAATCTTGCAAATATGGCTTTTTTCTTCCTCTCCAGTGTTTTGGGCGGATGATTTCTTAAGGCAAAACACCCCAGTGAACAGCGTAAAAAACTAACCTTTATTTACCACATTTACATTAGCAGAAATTTCAATACAATTTAATCTTAATTAACCTTATTTAAAATTTAAAATGAATAGATACCACCATACTGGGTTATTATAGTTAGCTCAAATTAAAAACATACAAAAGTGTTACTTGGAATAAATTCAACTTTAAATAAAATAAAATATGAAAAGCTAATTGCTAAGGGTAATTCCTCGTTTTCATTTCTTTAGCTACTAAAATAACTAAAACTAACATAAAAATGAATGAAAAATATGAATAGATTTAAAAAAAAAAACGAATAAAAATGGCAAAACACAACAAAATTACTAAAATTTAAATGAAAACAGAAAATATAAAAATAGAAACTACTTCAAAATATTATTAAAAACTGTAATAGTATTTCAGTGATACTAAAATAACTGCCACCATACTTACATAGTTGACTGATTACATTAAGAATTGCTCTATATATATATATATATATATATATATATATACACACACACACACACACACATAAATAAATATATATAGCTAGAAGCCACATCACAGGCTGCCACTGTATTTACACGTGTGAGTAATGTTCATACATGATTCTGTTTGTAAATAAATCTTTTTATATTAAATAGACATTGATAATACAGTGTCTGTGCATCTTACAGTGTGGACATTATAATGGGATCGATCTATAAGCGTCCAGCGTAGACATGGTAGACATGAGTCTCAAGATGGATTTTCTTGCAGTGTCAGTTAGCACTGTTACTACATTAAGCAATCTTTACCTCATCTTTAGCTCGGATAAGAGCCTCCATCTCTGCCATATTCTGTGTGAGCTCCTCGCTGCCCGTCTCACTGGAAGCAGAAACCCCGCTCTGAGCCTCCAGCTCTGCAACCTGAAACATCAAACCCAAACGAAACAGCTATTACAAAACTCAGGCCCAACTTACTGTATTAAACCATCAGAAACATGGAGAAAGTGAGAAAATCTTTTTAAAAGCTACTTTAAAAACAAATGCAAAGTAAACACACACACAAACATAAATAAATGTATATATGTATGTGTGTGTATCTCTCTCTCTCTCTCTCTCTCTATATATATATATATATATAGCCACTTTTCTGAAATGCAGTGTTTAAATATGCAACACAAATGAGGCATTATCTAATGAAATGCGCACTAATTTGCATTCATTTCCATAACAGAAATCTGAGCATTGGATAAAGCCAGGTTCATTTAATTTTGTTGACTTATTAGTTGAAGGTTTTTATAGAGGGGATTTTGGATTTCTCTTTTTATCGTTACATGAATCAGAAAATACTGTCAACGCCCAGAAAAAAATAAATTTTTACCATATTTTTCTAAATAATATGTATAAAATCAGGTGAATGATATATGAACAAACCCTTCAGTAAAAACCTTCAGAATATATATTTGTGATGCTGGAGCACAAAAGCAGTCTTAAGTCGCTGGGGTATATTTTTAGCAATAGCCAAAAATATATTGGGTCAAAATTATTGATTTTTCTTTTATGCCAAAAATCATTAGGATATTAAGTAAAGATCATGTTCCATGAAGATATTTTGTAAATGTCCTACCATAAATATATCAAAACTTAATTTTTGATTAGTAATATGCATTGCTAAGAACTTCATTTGAACAACTTTAAAGATGATTTTCTCAATATTTTGATTTTTTTGCACCCTCAGATTCCAGATTTTCAAATAGTTGTATCTCAGCCAAATATTGTCCTATCCTAACAAACCTTACATCAATGGAAGCTTATTTATTCAACTTTCAGATGATGCATAAATCTCAATTTAAAAAAATTGACACTTAAGACTGGTTTTGTGGTCCAGGGTCACAAAACTTTACATAAAACTGTAAAGTTTGGTGTATGTAAGTGCTACTGGACTGGAGACAAAAACACACTGAAATTGAAATCTACAGACGCAAATAGATAAAGTGCTATAAAATGAACACTTAAATGTGTATTTTGGACCAGTTGTGAATAGCCAAAATCTCAAAATTGACCAAAAAAGACGGGTGTCGGGGTTCTTTCCGGCTGCTCTGTGCATGCGGTGTTGCATGATTGATCAGATGCATTGTGGATCTTCTCCTGGAGGACCGGGAGGGCGTGGCATGTGTGCAAAGTGGGTGTGGCTAATCCCTTCTGCTGCTGCTATGGATTTTCCTCCCGTTTCTGTTGTTGTTTGTTTCAGTTATTGCTTTATTTCGCACCTTTTGTAACCGGAGCCGTTAACTCCATTTGAACAGTCTCTTCAGAGCATTTTAAAATAAGTAACTTGAAGAGAGCCATTTGTGTGTCTAATGTACTTACTGTGCGCTTAGACACAGTGTTTAAAACAGCTGAAATATTTCAATACTGTAGAAGACTTACAGTACAAACATTTATGCCTTTTAATGCTCTTTAGCTAAAAGTTTCCATGTCTTATTTCAGAAGCATCGGAAAGCTTTAGAGTGAATCTGACAAAAAAATACTAATATTTCATTTGAAAATCATAGTATCATATTATATTTTGCATGGAGAAAATAAAACCGATTTTTAGGACCATTAAGATGCATCAATATTTGCAGTGTGACGTTATTTTTGTGACATTTAAGCCCCGTTTTGTTGCATTTCTGCTACTGGTAACTATGGAAATGTGCTGCTTAATTGCCATGAAATTAATGTCGTAATTAAACAAATGCTTCAGAAAACTGGCTTCATTTTCTTTATGCAAAACGTTCTTTTGATTTTGAAAGCATTTTGATCAATGTAGTAGATTAAACTTTATATTTTAGTGGATTGTGATGGTTTCAACTCCTACAGGACTCATTTTTTTATTCGATTAGCACGTAAAGATTTTTAATGACATGAGGCCAGATTTAAATGTTGTACATTTTTTATTTATTTATTGAAGATGATCACTATAAACCTTTTCTATTTTGCCCAGATGTAGTGCCTTAAATTAAAATGCTGCCAAGAGAACAACAAAATCAGATTTAAAAAAAAAAAGGAAATATCAGAGATATAGCAGTTTTATTTGTGGGAGAAAAAGCTCGGCTGCTTATATTTATGGAGTCGTGGCTTGCCGTTTGATGACTCCATGTTCTTTACTTAAACTGCTTAAAAACATTTGTGTTGGTGTTTTAATTTCTCCTTTTCTTTTTTTTTTAATGAGTTTCCTTGTCTTTCTCCTGAATTGGATTGACCTTTTCCTGAACTCTTCCCGAGCATGAGTGTATTTTAACGTTCAAATGTCAAAATCATCCAAAAAAAAGAAGGAAAAGCATTGGTTCATGAGTGCTTGTTAACTCTCTGAACGATTGTCTCTAGTTGGGGGAGAGCGTGTTGTGTTGTGGGGCTCTAAACGTGATCAGTGAGTATTTCATGTTTACCTGTTCATCCCATGTGCCCCGTTTCTCCAGCGCTCATACGGAAACCCTTCCTCATGACTTTTGGTTCCATGTTGAAAGCATTTATTTCATTTTGGTAAAAGCAAGTAACTCATTGGCTACTCATGCTATTCTTACCCAGGCCAAACGCTAACTAGCGTTGCTTTGAAATATTTAGTACTTGCTGTTCATCTAAACATCTTAATTTGAAATTTAAAGTCCATTAGTTCCATGTTTCAGAGCTTTTGGAGGAAACCTCTCAAACTTTAAGCTGAAACTTCATAAACTGAAATTTGTCTCTTACTTGTATGTTTTAAGAAAAGTTGGACGTAATTCTGTCCTTCCAGAGTTTGTGTGTTTGTTTGTGTGTATGTGTGAGAGAGAGAGTGTGTGTGTGTGTGTGTGTGTGATTTTCTGGCTGTCCACTCACTGCCTAAACACAAGAACAGCTTTTGCCTCTCCACCCCGCCTCACACCTGCCTCCCTCGTGGTCTATCATCCTCTTAAATATTCTGTTTTTCTCTGTCTGTGCTATTTTCTTTCTTTTCTTTTAGCCTTTTCTGTCCTTACTATACGCCCAACAGCAGTATCAATGATGATGAGGAACGTGGCTGCTTATAGAGTTAGTTATTTATAATCAGATTTTTGGTGATTGTCAATCAATGCAGATTCCAAGTGGTATAATATTATATTTTATTGGTTTAAGATTAAATTTAACTTAAGTTAATACTTGCTAATAAATTACTTAGGAATTTGACATTTAGTATTTTTTTTAAATTTACAATTCTTGCGCGTTATCGTGATGCACGAGGAGTTTTAAAATTTCCCGAAGCAAAATCATGGCATCAGCATCATCATTGGTTCGTTGCTCAGTGGACCATTATAATCGACCAATTATGTTTAAGATCTTCTTTGTGTTTGAGAGGCATGATTTCACCTTTTTTATATTTAATTTGGGCTTTTATTTGAGGTTTTCTTTAGTTTTGGTTGATTTGAATGGCTTTGCTTTGATAATTTCAGTGGACTAAGGAGGACAGTCTCCGACAGGCTGCTGTGGCCAATCAGTTTGTCCCTCTGAACACCAACCCCAAAGAGGTCCAAGAGATGCGCAACAAGGTATCGTGTAGATTCAAGACATTTCACTGATGATAATGCATGAGTAGTTCCCTCAAAAAATTAAATTCAAGATTAGGATGAATTTGTTTGTTCATCAGGTTTGGAGAAATGTAGCATTGCATCAGTGTCTCAGCAATGGATGCTCTGCAGTGAATGGATGCCAAAATAGTAATTGCGAGTTTTTATTTCACAATTCAGACTTTTTTTCTTGCAATTTCAAGTTTATATCACGTAATGACATAAACTCATTGTGTGTGTGTGTGTGTGTGTGTGTGTGTGTGTGTGTGTGTGTGTGT